CCAGCCTGTCACACCTTCATTCTTCCCTGGCCTAAGCCCCCGCCTCAGGCTTTCTCTTGGAACCTGCCCTCCGGGAGGGAAATGCCACAGCACAGCCCTGACCTGGAGGTGGGAGGGCCTATCATGTCTGCCTTCCCTTGAGGGTGTGGGGTCCTTGCTGTTATTTTGTGTGGCCTCTGGGGCCTTTTGGTCAAAGCCAAAGAAGTGCCCTTTAACTCCCTTCTCGTGGAGTGAGTGGCTGAGTGGCCGGGCTCTGTAGACGCAGCCTAGGTTCAAACCAGCTCCGCCACTGACAAGTGTGTGGCTTCGGGCGAGTTACTTAATCTCTGTGTCAGTTTCCTTCTGGTAAAGCCTCCCCCAGTGGAGTGGAGGCGAAATGAGGCGGGTGTGTGTGGCACTGACATGCAGTAAGAGTGCCTGCCGGCTCTGATGCCACACAGAGCACGACCCTCCTCGCCTGTCTCCACAGAAGGAGATGGAAAACTACGAAGCCCCCTTCCAGTGCCTGGCCCGGCAGTTCCACCAGCTGTACCGGGAGAAGCTGGAGGTTTTCCACGCGCTGGCGTGAGGGCTGGGTGCTGCGGGCGTGAGCAGTGGCCCAGCTCCTTGGAAGACGAGAGAAGACGGACTTGCCTCGGCACTTCACCTGTTGTGACAGCTTCAAATAAAAGGAGAAAATGTACAAGCAGCAGCTCCTTCCGCTCTTGGCCAGGGCGGGCCTGGTTCCATTTTGCACTTGGCTGCTGGTTCCAGAGCAGCCTGGGAGCCAGGCGGGGGCCTGGCGGGCCTCCTGTGGGGGCTGGCACTGTGGGGGTGGGTGGTCCCACCTTCCCCTGAGAGCAGCCCCACATCGTGCTGGGATTGCTTACAATTTGCTGCAGTTGAGATGCTCTGCGTGGAACTTGCCAGGGGGCTGAGGGGCTGCCGGCTGGCCCCCTCCTGAGTCTAACACACGGGGCTTTGCTGCCTGTTCCCTGTCCAGAGGCCTGGGCTCCCACACAGGGGCCACTGTCACCGACAGAACAGTGCCCTCTGCCGGCCGGCCTGGGTGCCTCCCCTCCATAAGGGCCAGCTCTTCCCAGCTGCCGGGAACCCTGGGCACCGGGGAGCCAAGAACCAGGCCACTTTCCTTTAATGACCCACCTCTCGGAGCTGGGCAACAGTCATAATTCTCTGTCCTGAGCTCGACTGTTTTCCATCCCGTCTCCGCTGCCAGATTAATCTTCCTAAAACACCGCTTTCACTCCTCTGATTAAAGACCCACGCGGTTCCTCGTCGCCTTTGCATCAGGCTGCAGGCCGAGGTTTGGCATCAAAGGCTGCCTCTGCCTATCACCCTCCCCCGAGGGTCTCAGCTCCTTTCACCCTCAGTCCCCAGGCCCCCAGCTAAGGTGCAGAGGTGCCAGCTATGGGGTAGACAGACCCGGTTTGCCCCAATGATGGTGATGGAAATGGCTCCGGTTAGTTGATGACCTGTCCTGTCTCTACATGAGCTCAGCGCATTACAGGTATTAGCTAATTTAATCTTTAAGCAGAGTCTTACCCCACTTTCCAAATGAACCAGAGAACTCAGTGACTTAGCCAAGGAGTGGCAGAGCCAGGACAGGGACGCCAGAGCCCAGCTCCCAGCCCCACCCCCTCTTCTGCCTCCTCCCGAGATGGCCAGGCCTGGAGAAGGTGGAGGTCTTTCATCTGCAAAGGGTGGTGATTAGGCTGCCCTTCAAGGTCATCGCGATCAGTGAGATGACGGGTGAAAGACATCAGCCCGCGGTGTCACCCACGGCAAGCCCCCACCGTCCGCCTTCCTCTTCTGGTCATTTCTCCGTGAAGTCCCTGCAGCCACAGCAATCTCCCTACTGAGTCATCCTCTCAGAAGAAAGCTGAGGGCCGACTGTGCCGGGCGTTTTTCTAGGCACCAGCCATGCCACGCTGCCAGTCTCCTGTCACGTGTTCCAGAAAGGAAGACCTACCGAAACCCAAGGAGACCTGGGGGGACGCTTCCAGTTGCCCCAGAATTGGTTCCTGGGAACCACAGCTATGGAGAGAGGGATGCTAAGGAACCCCCTCCCTAAAGAGCCCACAGAAGGCTGGGGCCAGGCACCGTGCGTGTGGCAGCTAGGAGGTGGCAGAATTGTCCCTGCCCCCAGAAGCCCCAGCCCCTCGCTCCTTGCCGTTCCCTGTTCGTATAATATTGAGTGGTCAAGAGAGAGCGAGGGTAGACATGGCGCTGGGCAGTGGGTACCAGTCCCGCTCCTGCCCCACCCCCACCCCCATAAACCAACAAAGGAGGTCCCATGAGACTCCTGAGAGAGGCTGCTGCCAAGAGGAGGCTGGCACCTCGTGCCCCAGCTGGATGCTCGCTGAGCTGCAGAAACCTGGTGCCAACTGCAGGCACAGGGTGTGAGGGTGTCCTTGGGGGAGCTTGGCATGCAGCCCTGGGAATTGAGGGGACTCAGTGGGGAGAAGCCTGCACCAGCAGCAGGGAGAGCAGGTACCCCACCTCATAAGGAGCCACAGGGTAGGGAGTCACTGGGCTCGTCAGACAGGCCCTGGGCAAAGGGAGCTGCTCCCCCGGGAAGGTCAAGCGCTATCCTGCTGGCAGGGCTGGGGGTGCAGCTGTCTACTCCCGGGGAAATGCCAGCCACACAGGAGTCTCGGTCCCCAAACAGCCAGGCACCCCCATCTCCAGGGAGACCACAGCAGGGGAACAGCAACGCCCACTGGGGAGGCACCCCGAGAGAGGACGCTCCGCTCCCTTCCCCACTTCTGGAGAGGAGCTTCGAGCCAAGCTTTGGAGCTCTGAGCTGGCCTGATCTGAGCTTTAACAAATAAAAGTGCCCGAACTGGGTTCAGCGTAGCCTGTCATGAGGGCCCAGCAAGAAGAGGGACTCTGCCGAGTGTGGCAGAATGAAACAACTAGAAGAAGTAAGATGGTCTAGGCTTGGGGCCTACTGAGTCCAGATTCCCCAATAAATTGGTTCTATAATAACGAAATGATGGAGATGATTTCAGACCATGCCAAGTGCTGTACAGGCAACAAAATGGACCTGTGATGGGTGGTTTGTGGGGTAACTAGGTTGGGTGAGCAGGAACAACTCTGAGGAGTGACATTGGAAGGAAGGTCTGACAGCCACGTGGCCACCTGGGGGACATCCAGCAGCAAGGACAGCAAGTGCAAAGGCCCTGGGGCGTGACAAGCTTGGAGAGCCAAGGAACTTCAGCTCAGCAGCGATGTTGTCCGGTGTGGGGGAAGCAGGAGGAGGGGAGATGGGCAGGGCCAGACTGGAAGGAATGGATTCTATTTCAAAGGCTACAGGATGCCAGACATCGTAGCTCTTATGTCCTCATAGTGCCCGGCACAATTTGGAAACGTAGTAAGTGGTTATTAATCACTGCACTTCCCTAAGGAGCTCAGGAAAGACCTCTCTGAGAAGGTGACATTTAAGATTTGAGAGGGCAGAGTGACTGGCACGCCCTGGGCATGGCTGATTCATCGGCCCCTCAGAGGTGGGCCATCTTCTACTTTCTTTCCCCGGCTCCCAGCACTGGGACTCAGGCATGCATGGACTGTGTGTGTGGACTTCGGGGGGTTTGGAGTTGGGTGGGACTCAGGACCTGCCCTAGAATCTCCTACAATCCATGGAGGAGAAAACTGGGCCAACACGACTTCACGCCGAGCAGAACCCAGAGAGCACCCCAGCCAGGGTCTGCCGCAGCCGCAGCCACAGCCGCCGCCGAGAGCTACTGTCTCCTTGGGGACTGAGGGGAAGCTCTGCTCACACCCTCAGGGTATCCTTCCCTCCCTGGCTCCGTGAAGCTGACCCTCTGTAGCATCCTTGGCTGCCTGCTGACACTGCTCTGGTTCAGCCACCAGGAGAACAGGGAAGCCCAGAGTGGGAGGGGGACACAGCAGGCGGGCGCTTTTGGAGTGGGTTCCCCAGTTCAAACACAATGCCTCTGTGACACTCGGGCACTTTCCTTTGTTGGGGTCCCTGTTCAGATGTGGATGGTGCAGGAGCAGCTCCCGGATGTTGTCCCCAGACGCAGTGGTTCACCAGGACACCTCCTGCCCTGAGAGCCAGCCCTGGAGATTCCCACGGCTGGGAAGGTGCATAGTTACACGTCTTCTGCAAGGAGGCTCAGGGGCAGGAGGCAACCTGCGTCATGTCTGTGATAAAATACATTCATCTCGGTGCTAAAATGTTGTGTTTTTTATAATATATTTTATTGATTTTTTTATTATTTTTTTTTACAGAGAAGAAGGGAGAGGGATAGAGAGTTAGAAACATCGATGAGAGAGAAACATCGATCAGCTGCCTCCTGAACACCCCCTACTGGGGATGTGCCTGCAACCCAGGTACATGCCCTTGACCGGAATCGAACCTGGGACCCTTGAGTCCGCAGGCTGACGCTCTATCCACTGAGCCAAACCAGCTAGGGCAGAATGTTGTGTTTTTTAAATGGAACATTGAAAACTAAAAATGTCCTGTCCCAAACTGGAGTGCCAGGAAGCACAGGTTCAACTGAGCCCAAGATGGGACCTGCGAGTTACACTAACCCAAATCTGCTGGCGGAGTTGGCCCATCCTGGAGGTGCAGAGAGAAGCCTTCGGTTTTGCATCTGTGCGCCCATTCTTGTGTCCATCTCTGTGCAGGGCCCTGCTGATCGGAGGGATGACTGATGCTGTGCCCTCCAGGAGCTCCAGTCTCGTGGGCAGGGAGGGTTTCCAGGGCCCACTACCTGATGCTAGTGGGGGAAGGGCATTCCAGACCAAGGAAAGAGCATGTGCAAAGGCCCTGAGGCACGGAGCTGAGGGCCCGCTTGGGGAACTGTGCATGCAGCGTGGGGCGAGGAGCGAGGGGTGCCCAGCAGGTGAGAGGTTGGAGAGAAGGACAAAGCAAACGCATGGAGCTGTTATCACACAGAGCAGAGGAGTTGGACTTTTTCCAGAAGGGAGTGAGGAGCCGATAGGGTTTTAACAGAAGTGACTCACCAGGATGTCTGCTTTAGGAAGATCAACCGAGGGGGCAACTGGAGGATGGAGTGGGAGAGGAAGCGCCTGGAGGTAAGGAGACCCGGTAAGACATCACAGTTCAGCAAAGAGCTGATGGGAGGGAGGTGGCGACAAGTTTTCATCCATCTCCAATGTTAGCAAAATATTGGGAAAGGTCTTTTAAGCCAACTCAGAGTTTTCTTCCCCTTTTCCGCAGAACACCGATTGATTTTTTAATGTGTTAGCCTTTACTTCCTTTAGAGGCAAGCGAGCCAGAGAGAGTGACTTCTTTAGGTTGCAAATTGTTAGCGATGGAGCCAGGCTTAAGAACTCCGCTGCAGCCTCTGTGGGTCTGTGATATTTATGTATACAATGCCCATTCGCCTTCCTCTCTGCCAGTAAACAGAGCAGATAAATATGAAGGGGACAGCAGCAGAGAGCCCGTTCCCATGCTAAAAAGGCAAGAAGACTGCGAAGGCTCATTAGGAGAAAATATCGACCCGGTGGTGTCCGAGTTTTACCTGTGGTGTGAAGAAAAAGTGTTTTTGCCAAAGCCATTATGTAACTGGTTCTAGGGGCAGAGGGGGGTGATGCAGACTGAGCAGAGGGGCAGGAGAGCAAGGGCAGTGTGGGTTCCCAGAGGGCAGGGACCACATCCGGGGCTCCTCGGAAGTCCCTGAGAAGCAGCTGGGATTGTAGTGGAGTTAGAATCGCAGCTATGTGTCCGCAGGCATGTCACTCACCCTCTCTGATGGTCGGCTTCCCCATTTATCCAATGGGCATAACAGCCTCAACCTTTCCAATTACTGTGTATGGATTCTGATATGTAAAACCTCTTTCACCAGGCACAGTCTAATGCATTGTAGGTGATTTCCAAATTTTCTTCAATAACTATGCTTTTTATGAGCCTAAAAGGAATGTATGCTTATTGCAAGAAAAAAAGTCAGGAACTATTGAAAAGTATAAAGAAGAAAATGGAAATTATTCAAATCCTACCACCCAGAAGTGGCCAATAGCATCCTAGTATATGCACCTCCACCCTTTTCCTCTGCATATAACATTTTGTACATATCGTGGTGCCATACATGCTATTTTCACTTACTATCTTGTGAACATCATCTCCGGTCAAGAAATCCAGTTTTATATTATTATTTTATTTCTTTTTAAGCCATAAAGAATTTTAAACATACCCCAAAATAGACACTTATTTACCCATTAGCCAGAACTTGCAAGATTTTGCCACCCTTGCTTTATCCTATCCCCTTCCATTACTGTTATTGTTTTAACAGTTTAAACCAAATACCAACCCCTCTGTCAGTGTCTCTAAACCAAGCATGTCAAACTCAAAGGCTAACACGGGCCAAATGAATGAGGCATGCGGCCCTCGGGCCACGAGTTTGACATGCTTGTTCTAAACGAACCACAAGGCCATTATCACACCTGATCAAAATTAACAGTAATTCATTAGGAGCATCTAACAATGAGTCAAGATTCAAATTTCCCCATAGCTCCCCAAGGCTCTTCTCCCGCTGGTTTATCGCATAATCATTTTTAATGACCCCGCTGTAGATGAACACCGGTTTCCAAGCTGTCACTCACAAAAAGCACTGAGGGCCACATCCTCTGCACATCTATGTGGACCCCTGTCCAATTATTTCTCCAGGACCAATTCCTAGAAGGGAACTTTCATGGTCAAAACCTATGCACCTTTTTAAGGCTTTTAATAGCATTTGACAAATTGCCCTCCAGAGAATTTGTACCAATTTATACTCCCACCAGCAGGGACAGGCACCCTGGACAGCCTTGGATGGTTAATGAAGGGAGGTTAAAGGGAGAGAAAGCAGGTGGGGAGAAAAAGGAAAAAGGAAAAGAGGCCTGGCGTGAGGGTGCAGTGTACCCCCCGCACCTCTCCCCCGCCCCGGTTGCCAGCCACCACCAGCCCAGAGGAGCTCAGAGAGCCGAGGCTCCCAGCCCAGCAGCGACTGCACCAGATTAAGTCTTAAAGCAACGATTCAATGGAGACCGAGAACAAAGCTGGAGCAAAGACGCTTCGATCCATTCCAATTAGGAGCCGCCTTTCCAGAGGCGCAGGCTGCCGCGGCTGAAGGCAGGCAAAACGCCACAGCCCAGCTGTGCTGGAAGCTTGTCTGTTTTCCTGAACTCCCCGGAGGCGCTCCATCCACTGCGCTCATAACCCAAGGCCTGTTCTGAAGGTTAGAGGATTCGACTTGGGTGGGGATCTCCGCCACCAAAGGCCAGGGGCCCTTCCGTTCTTGCACTGGCTAAGGACGGGGGAGGGGGAGGGCAGGGGAAAGCCCCACCTGCGACACGTGGGGGGCATATACCTTGCTGCTGCTTCATTTTATCTGTGTGTTTATTGCTGTGGTTTTAAAACTAACATTTCTTTCAGGCTTGCGAAGAGCAGATAAAATTAAGATATAACCCTGGCCATGTCGCTCAGTTGGTTAGCATGTCATCTCGATATGTCAAGTTGCTGGTTCGATCCCCGGTCAGGGCACATATAGAAGCAACCAATGAATGCATAAATAAGTGGAACAACAAAGCCATGTTTCTCTCCTTCTCTCTCTCTCTCTAAAATCTCTCCCTCTGCCCCCTCTCTCTAAAATCAGTCAATCAATCAATAAAATAAGTTTAAGATGAAGATACACGTGGGGCCTGGCCCTGCACACGGAGGTGGAGCACAGGCTGGTGCTGGCTGCTGCAGCCTGGCTTCGGTTAGGTTCACGCCACAGGTGGCAGTACCATGGTTTGCTGGCCTTTGACGCACTCTCTCCAGTTGGCACCATGATATCATATGTTGAGCGCAAGCATTCAAAGAACTGGCCCAAGTACCAACGCTGCCCATTCTCCAGTTGACATGCCAACCGTAAGCATTGGCTGGGGTAACACAGGACTATAATGAGTTCAGGGTGCTGAGTCCAGAACTTCCTTAGGGGCTGTATCCTCTGTAAGGCGGTGTTTAAATTAGGAGCACACAGGAGCCAGGTCCTGGTGGGTCCTTGCTACTATTAAAGAAAGTTTTCAACAGTATAGAGGTTCTTCAAAAAACAAAAAAAATGGAACTGCCTGGTAACCCAGCGATTCTCCTATCTTTGGTGGAGTGTTTACAATAGCCAAGATATGCAAGCCACCCAAGTGCCCATGATTGTACCCATTTTACAGATGTGAAAACTGGGGCTCAGAGAGGTGAAGCCAAGTACTCAAGTTTAGTCAGGATGCAGAACCCACATAGGACCTGTGCTCTTTAGGTCCAAGTGAGCGAGCAGGTGTGCAGGCAGGACCCATGGCTGGGATGTTTAGGACAGACCTGCAGGGACACAGTGGTCCTACAGTGCGAGCAGGGAGAACCCATGTTTAAACTCGGAAGTTGGGGGGTTGGAGAAAGACTCCCAGGAAAGGTGCAGGTAGGGGCTGTGATGGAGTGAGGAGTGGCAGATAATAGTCCAAGGTAACATTTACTGAGGGCCAGGCCATGGTAAGCCCTCAGCAAATGTAAGCCCTTAACCTCCTCCTCCGGGGGCCCTGCCACCACCACAAGCCACCCAGTGAGGGGCCCACTGTGCAATCAGGAGCATCTGCAGGGTAGCCCACAGTCCTCCCATTCCTGCCCCCTCCCACCCTCCAGCCCCGCCTTGGACCTCCAGAGCTCCTGGGACCCCCATCCCACACACCCAGCACTACTGGATGCTTGGGTCACTTCCAGGTCACATCTGGCCATGCTGTGCAGGGCCCCTCCAGACCAGCGACAAGGGCAGCCGGCTCAGCAGAGGCAGAGGAGGAGACAGTGGAGCCCGCAGACCCTCCTGACCCCGTCCAGACTGCACTGGCTTCCAAGACCATCTGCCTAGGCGGGCGGGCCGCACAGGGCACTGGGGCAGAAACAGCCGGCACCCAGCCGGTCACGTGCGGACCCCCAGGACCTGCATGGTCAGGAGGCCTGGCTGGCCTTCCCATGGCAGCTGCCAGAGCTGCTGGGTGGCAGGGGTGCTGGGCTGCAGGCACAGACCCTCCCTGACAGAGGTCCCAGGGGTGGGGGCCAGGGAGAACTCTGTGATCAAAGAGGGTGGGAAAGGGGCTGGGATGGGGAGAAGAGGCACCACGGGTGTGCTCCCCTTGGAGACATGAGCACCTGGGGCTGGTGCAAGGAATGGAGGCCCTCTATGCCCAGGTGCTCCCTGGACTTCCTGGTGCTTCCTGGACTTCCCAGGAGTGAACTCTGTGCCCCTGCCTCCTGGGTCCTCAGGGCCCCCCAAATGATACCCAAAGCCCCCAACCATCCCTTGCATCTGCTTGAGTCCCTCTAATCCAGGTTTGCCTCAGTCACTGTCCCAACATCAGTCAGAATGTCACCCCATATGCATACAGCCCCTTAAAGGCCTCCTATACCCTAAATCCTTGTCCTGGCCTGCACACACCTCAGCAGCCTCACGTTCTCTCTCTCTCTCTCTCTCTCTCTCTCTCTCTCTCTCTCTCTCTCTCACACACACACACACACACACACACACACACACACACACACTGTTGGTGCTTCAGTTTCCAAGACTTTCAGTTCTGTGTTTACTTAACTCTTCTGTGCCTGTTTCCTCATCTATTCAATGGGACAGTTAACAGTATCTTAGTTTTGGTGCCTGGTTACCCTGAGACACATGTGCAGGCACTGGTGGTTATTTGTAGGTGATCCCAGAAGCACAGGGAAGTGAGCCTGGGAGGGAGAAAGGTCACTGAAATGTGCGCTGATGATTTACTAATAATGATAATCATAATAATGCCATTGCTTGTCGGCATGACTGACAGTATGCTCTCTCTGACCCCAGGCCTTTCCCCAGGCTGTCCCCGTGCCTGGCACACTCCTCTGCTCATCCTTCCTCCACCTGGCTCATATCCGGGTGTGCTTCAGGGCTCTGCCCAATGTCACCTCCTCAGGCAGCCTTCTCTGAGCCACTGGGTTAGAGCACCTCTCTCTTGGATGTGCTCACAGCACCTACCCTGCCCCTTTCCTCCAGAGCATTTAATCATCGTTGTCACCTCAAATTTACTGGCACAATTGCGTGTGATGCTCTGCTCATTCTGAGTCCCTCCCGCTGGGCTGCAAGCTCCCTGAGGATGCAGCGGTAACATTCATCTCGGGCCTTGACCGATAAGTCAGTCACTCTCCAGGTGGGCAAGACGGGAAGGGCATTCGTAGGGAAGATGGGACCCTGTGGGCCAATGGGCTGAAGAGTGAAAGGCAGTATGGAGGACATAGTAGGGCTTATGCTACGAAGGGACAGAAAAAGTGGCCACAAGGGAAGTGGCGGTAGGAACTGGATGTATGAAGAAGAAGGCAAAGGTGAGAGGGACAGAAGGTCTCAGGTGCCATGCTGCCCTCTGACACACTGTGCCTGTCCCTCCATTCCTGTTCCTTCATCCACATGGTTCCCCTGCTTGGAATACCCTCCCTTCTCCCCACTGCGTGAACCCACCCTTCCTGAAGGATTCCCTGATCACTCCACCGTGCAGAGAGGCAACAGCGTCCCTCAGCAAGAGGGCCGGCCTTGAGAACAGGTGGCTCTGGGTGCAAACCCAGCCTCTGTCAAGGGTGTGAAACGTTTCTCATCCCCATCCACCCATATGACAAACAATCCTCAAAAGAAGAATTGACTTTCAGGCAAAGATAGGTCAGAGCCAGGGCCACTGTCAAATGGCTTGAAGATGAATCTAAGAGTGTTACTGCAAAGCCTTTTGCTAAGACCTCAGAAAGATTTAAAGTGCCTCATAGACCCTCTCAGACAGACAAAGGCCTTATGGGGGTCTTAAAAGCATGTGCTGAAAACCCATCCTTTTAAACCATTGCTCTTTGAAAAAAAAAATTGAAGAACAGCCTTGCCAGGAACCCAAGGTTAAAAAAAAAAAAAAGATTTATGGGGGTAGATTTGTAAAATGGAATGAATTAAAAATTGATTCATAAGAAGCCCTCAAAACTTTTAAAGGAATTGTTTTGGCTATGAACGAAAGGGCAGAGAGCACCAAATGAAAAGAGAGCCCTTTGGACCCTCAAATATCGATGAGCAGGAAGAAGGCTAAGAAAATGACTCTGCTGCAAACACTGGTCATTTATTATGGAAATGCCAGGGTGACTCAGAAGAAAGAACCAAAACCCCAGAGGGCAGTAGAACTGATTACTAATCAAGGAATGGGCCACATGTGCCCAAGTGGATTTCAGAATTGCTATGGACCAGTGATCGCTACGTGCCTTCCACATTTCCCCCTTTAGTGGGAGTGTCTACGGGGGTTATTCTGTGCCTGTCCCACCATTGCTTCCTGGGTATGCAGGGAGGACGAGGAACTTGTTTCTTCAACTCACAGATCTTCCTACTGAGAGGAGTGGTTCTCAAGGAGTTATACCCAGGGCACTCTACCTAAGGAGACACATCCCTACCTGCACCCAATAGTCTTAGACGGTAACACTATTGCCAATGGAGTACAATGGAAGTAGCATAAAGTGACCCCTGAAGATAGGTCATAAGAGGCAAAACAGCCTCTTAGAACCCAGCCACCATGCTGTGAGGAAGCCCTACCCAGATGGAGAGGCCACTGTAGACATACTGACTGCCAGCCCCAGAAGAGGTCACGGCCACCAGCATGCAAGAGAAGCCGTCAAAAGGACGCCAGCCACCATCTAACTGACCCAGGAGACCCCGGGCGGGGACTGCCACACTGAGCCCAGTCACCCCTAGAACCACCCCTAGAACCACTTAACAATGATAAGTGATTATTGCTGTTTGACCCTCCCCTACATTTGGAACAGTTTGCAATGCAGCAAAAACAGCCAATGCACCTGGGGGTGAATAAGAGCATGAGAGCAAAAAGGAGGGAGGAGGCAAAGATGGGGAGGGGGGGAAGAAGGAACCACGAGGCAGGACTTTGTGTGTCTTGTTCACTGCAGAGGCCTGGTGCATAGTAGGTGCTCAATTAATACTTGTTGACTAATGAAACATGAAGAAGGGGAAAGGAGCGACGGTAATTCTGAGTGCACTGAGTTTCCTAATGCACATTCGAAGGCAAACTTCCGGATGGGCCCAGGAGAGACTGCAAATGCCCAGACAGAACCTTTGGCTGCCCCAGATCCTCTGCGTGAAGGTTGAAGAAGAGAGACATCGAATCAGTGGATGTGGCCTGGGCCTCGGGGGCAGTTTGCTCTTGAGCAACCAGCGTCAGGACCCCCAGGAGGGCGCTGGCAGGAAGGGGCCGGCGTGAAGGCTGGGAGAGGCCCTGCCGAGGAGCCAGGCTCTGTAGGTTGGACACAGCTACAGCGCCATCCAGCTCTCAGAGGCTGTCCAGTCGCTGCCCAAGATCCCCAGCTACCCACCCCCCGCCACCCCAGGAGACCCCGGGGGGGGCGGGGGGCGGACTACCACACTGAGCCCAGTCACCCCTGAACTTGCTTTCTGTCCTGCCAACCAGCCCTTTCTTCCCAACCCCCCAGCCTTTAGGTTTGGTTTCCTATTCCACATTCTCTGTTTCTCGTTTCACGGATCTGCTTTTCATTTCTTCTGCCCCCTTCACCCTGTTCTTCCCCTTTCACCAGC